GATCCCCCACTTCATCGACTTGCTGGGTTGATCCCCCACTTGATCGACTTGCTGGGTCGATCCCCCACGGACGGATCTTCTGCTTTCTTAGTTATCCGACATGCCGCAGCACTGCGGGCTGACGTTTGAGTTCCGGTTCACATTCCCGAGCGCAAAATGCAACAAAGCGAGTATTCGCGAAAGGATGTGGTCACCGATCTGTGGCCATCTGCCAAGTGGTGAGAGTATTTTGCATATCACAAAGACCCGTCATGTGGACCCCACTTCAACGCAGTTTTTCGCTAGGGCAGATCATTCTTCAACATGCCACGGAAGGTGCAGTTTTCGATGCCACTTTCACTCTGTAACTCAAGTAGCGTACGTCGTATGCCTCTCCACCCACCCACCTACCAAGAGCCGCACTTGCAACATTGGCCAATACACTTGCAGGTTTTCCCGTTTGTTTCTAATCACTGGTTGCTACGCGTCCTTGCTGCGTATGGAATTGCATTATTCCCCAAAGCTCCCCGATGACATTCTCGGGCATTTCTCCCATAGAGAACGGCCATCTAGGTGTACGAACGCTGGACGAAACGTGATATATTTATCTTGCACGGCGGTAGTCGTGCAACTGATTTCACATTGCTCTCTGCGCTAGTAAAGTTATAGACATCTTATTTCGAGCAAACACTAGTACAGCATTTCATTCATGCTTTCATTCATAAAGCTGTGTAATCCGATAAAATTTCTTCTAGATAAAAAGTTGCCAGGACTTGTGCCCAAAACTGCGAATATGTGTATGTATATAATACAAGGTATGTCCGGAAAGTAACGCCATTAATTTTGTGCGCGTACTTAAAATGACCGCAAACGCACATTCCCATCGGTTGGCTTACGTGGAGTGACGATGGGGGTGACTCAGCTTCAAAGCGATGTCTGTCAGTCTGCGCCGAGCATTTGGACCGCCAGGACCGCGTACCCCTGTTTAGTGTGGGAATCACGAAACGCATTGGAATCGTCAATCCATAACGTTATGCCGTAAAGTTTCGTTCGAAATTCAACAAATCTCTTGCGGCGAATCACCAATTGATTGTTCAAGCGTTGAGAGCGTTTAAGAAAGGCCTGGAAGAGGTGGTCGATGAACGGCCTTCAACCTGCGCAACCAACGATTTGACACATGCGCGCGATCTGCTAATTACGACCGTCGATAGAGGTTTCAAGTTATTGCAGAATCTCACAATATTACCAAAACAAATGTACACTAACTGTGGACCGATAAATTGGACATGAAGGTGTGCCAAGCTTGTTCCGAAGCCGCTGACGGGCGATCAGAAAAATCACCGGGTGAACTTCTCGAACGTGTGAAAATTAAATCTGACCGGACTACTTTCTCTTCCCAAAGATCAAGATCGCCCTGAAAGGAATCTGTTTTGGATCGATTGGTGCCATACAAGTCGCCCTTGCCGAGGCCACCGTTGAAGCGAGTTTCAGGATGCGTACCATGCGCGGCAGAGCCGGCGGACGAAGTGTGTGGGTGGCCGTAGAAACTACTTAGAAGAGTATTAAACGTTTGTAACAATATCTTAAATCAAAATACTGGTTTAAAAAGAATTGCATCTCTTTCCGGACACCTTGTACAGTGCACCTGAAAAGTTTCTCGGCAGCGACATCCTGCTGATGAATGTTATCAAAAAATATTTTGGTATCTCGAGAAACACGCAGCGCTACGACTGCCTGAAAGGGGGTGCAGAAGCAGGGGCAAGGTGACAGCACGCCCCGCACGGCGGTTGAAGAAGAGACAGTGGTGACAGCCCAACTCGGCGCGGAGCAGAGGGACTTTGCTGGCTCCAGTGGCGGACAGCGAGTTCAAAATTTGGGGAGGCCCAGACAAATTCAGATTAATAACCTCAGGTTAATAAGTTAATAACCTTTGGTTTAATGGTAAACCGTTATTGGTGACAATGCAAATAAAAGAATTAAGAGTTCATTTCTTTTCTTCTAGGATCACTTCTCTGCGAAAACTGCACTTCCACTGAAGATGATGTGGGAGGATGATGAGGGACGTAGCCATGGCAACAAAGGAAGCGTGCGTCAGGCTGGGTATCGGTATCCAGCAGGCACAAGCAGGACTAGTACTTTGTGGTGCTACCTACGTGTAATGCATAAAACTACTTGGCTCCATCTTGAATGGTAATGCTATGTTTGAAGAAAGAGAAAAGACTTCTTTTACATGGTTACTCACCATCCCTTAACATTTATGTCAATTTTAGACAAATTTTATATCAATTTTTAAGTCCAAAAAATATATATCTCTTAGAGTTGTTAATCAAGGGGAGACCAGGTCTCCCTTGCATCTGAAAATCCGCCAATGTCTGACACACCGTATACAATAAATCATGATGGCAATTACACCCCAATTTATTTTATGAAGAACCAACACTTAAATGAAAAAATTATCTGACTAGGCACACAAATTGAGGCACCATTTCATACATGTAATGTAGAAAAATTACTATTAAAAAAAAAATCTATGTGAGCTACAACAGCATATACTTTCTCGCATCATTGAAAACGTGTAATATAATAATATTGCAATTTATACCCTACTACCTCAGATACAACTTGTAAAAGTCCAATTAAACCAATTCACATGCAGTGCTTGTCATGTATATCTGCATTTATTTCGGTAGTCAGGTCCAGTAGTCATTTTTTATTTTTAGAAATGAAAAAATTCATGTTACAGTATATGCCGCACAGTGGCAGGTTGTGCAGGATTCTTAAGAGGAAAGAAGCCATACTAATACTATTGTACTTTAAAAAACTGAAACATTCAACAAATTAGATTACATTCAGATACAAACCAATTCGTTATCTTTGCAGTATTGTTATTAGTAGAAGAACTCTGCTAGAAGCTGCCTTAAGGCTATTTCAATGTGAAAATTTCCCAAAAGTGTGGACTTAAACAAACAATGAAGATGCCCTAGTGACTTTTCCTGCTTCTGGATTCCTTAACCTAAATTTTTAATCAGTGGGAAAGAAAGAAAAGAAAAGAAAAGAAAAGAAAAGAAAAAACAACTAACAATTCTAGGAAAGAAGTTCGGAACAGAACAGCACAGCTTACTTATCACAAGAACCATGTGAAGAGAGCACAAGAACACACTTTCCCTAGGAAAGCCCTCTTCACTGTCTGAATATAAAAATGTTTTTTTTAATTCTTGCACTGTTCAACACCTTAGGATTGGAAAAGGGAGAGAGAGAGAGACACTGAGACATATCGGTTACATTTGCCTCATTATCTGAGTTTACATCTGTCCACAGTGTAGTGTTGCCACGTGTGAGATATTACAATGTCTCTTTCTACGTCTTGGCCCATGACTCATGCGCACGGGCACACTGCAGGCACTGGCCCATTATGTTGCTAAATTATATTACTATAATACTAGAGCATATTTATATTTACTATAATACTATATGAGAATTATTTTATAGAAGAAGTAGCAAAACATTAGCTACATATGCCCTGTAAATTTCGGTGCACACTAACCATCATTTGCTTAACACCAACCTCATCCTACGACTCAACCATAGGTATATAGCAACTACACATTAATTTATATCAAAATTTGAACTGATGCAAGTCACAAATTCGCCCTGGCAAAGAGCATATAAATATATCTTGGCTGGTCCTACATCTAGCAACCAGGATTGAAAAACTTGAATGTATCAACATACACAAAACTGTCTTATTATTTTTATACACAAAAGAAAGTAAAATGGAATAGAATACTTCAAAACTTTTTTAATTGTAAACAATTTCTTTGGCTTTATTTATGAACACGAAACAAAAAAAAAGATTAATTTTTTAGGCAGCACTAGTATAACAAAATAATTATTACAAAAATAGTCATACCTGATGTACGAGAGTTAGGTATCCTGTTTTCTTGGCGACAAACTCGAGCGCTGTGGCTCGGAGAAACAGCAACTTGTGGAGGTGGCTTACCCAACTCATCAACAGACGGTAGATTTTTATTGGGACAGACATTTAGTATAACAGTATGATATTTGTGAACACACTGTTTGAGATTTACACTTGTGTGGCTCAAATCAGAATTCTCCTTCAGAAGCTGCAAAAAAGAAAAATGAATAAAGGGGGCAAGGAAAGAAAAGAAAGAACGGACAAAATATAAACTTTAATTACTGCAAATTACATTTGCCTAATTTATCACAGAAATATGGTGTAAAAATCAAAATCCTTGTAAATTAATCCACAAAAATAAACTCTCAACATGAATTATTTATTTTACACTTTACCTCGTCATACTTGTGACGAAGACTTTGCTGCTCATCTTGAAGGCGAGAATTTATCTTTAGAAGGTCATCTAGTTTATTCTTCATTGATGTGAGACGAACATTGCGATCCAAAAAATAACCAATGAATTCAACACTGAAAAATAATTACATATTACAATACATTATTAAGATATAGCTTCCAGGGCTTTAAATGTGTTGATAAAAGTAAATAAAGATTATTAATGTTCAACTATTTCACAATTGAGAACTGAACTCACTATAATAACAAATATCTAATAACATTTTTGAAGTAAGAAGCCAAAGTAACAATTCACAAATGTCAGCTTCATTTTAAAACAATGCATTGATGGATTGAAAACTGGCATACTGAAAACACACATTTCTGACTCAATGTTGATAGATATAATTCAATTCTCTCTAAATTTATAAATCATCTGCAAATCCTTCATATGTTACGATTCCCTGCATTCTGAAACGTTACGTAATGTATCAAGTAAAAAGAAAATTACAGTGGCACTGATTATTAATGTAAAACAAGAAAATAATGAAGATAATTCAAACCACACAAAAGATAAATATTTAATATTTATTTATTTATTAAGTTGGCTACAATTGCCTGATCACTAGGTAGTAATAATAAGCCTACTAAGCAGATTAACAATACATCAGGTTTCTGGTGAAATAGTTTCAATTAAAACATAATTAGGGTATTTCTTTTCTTGTACACTAAATATGTAGTATACAGAAAGCAATGAAATGCTGCACGAAAAAGCAGTAATTTTCCACAGGATCTTCCGTTTTGTGCATTACTTTCATGTCATACAAGTGGATAATTTTAGCTCCTACAGATAGAGAATATGTTCTCCAATATTCTAGTCAGAATTAATGTTTTGTGCGTTGATACCAAAAAACTGTTTTGTGGCCTGTGAACAACGCTACCTCCTAAACCATTAAAAATACATTCACCTAAGATGTTATCCCACAATCGATCTGACTGATGTCCTAACCCCTCACAATTGAAACTTTACATAAAGCCCCAAGAACAGTTCAAAACCTTCTCAAAATTAGCTCAAAAACTTTCACTCAAAAAGACTATTGTATGCTTTTAAAACAGATGCAGATCCCTATTTAACAGTATATCTTAATTTTGAAAATTGCACAATCGATCTGACTGATGTCCCAGTCCTAATGTTTTTGGACTCCTTCCAACAACCGCTTATTTCAAGACAGAATTTTTTGTCTTAATGAAATCAGTTCTTCAAAATTAGGTCTTCAACATCAAACACATTTTTTTAAAAATAAGAAGCTTCCTTCAAAAAAACAAAACAAAAAAAAAATATTATATAAAACACCTTGGATATTTTCAAAATTTTTTCAAAAATAGCTCAAATTTTTCAAAATATCTCTTGTCAGAACAGAGTCACTCATAAAGATGGCATAGGTCAAATTTTCACTGTTAACTCTGATTTTTAAATATTATCAAAAATTGAAAATGACCTCATAAACTACTAAAGATAATGAGATTTTTTTCTTCAAATTCAATGTATTCTTCACAATTAGTTCTTGAATAACATGTACATTTTTTTAAAAAGATCCCTGGTCTTTGTGTGGAATTTTTAATGAAATATGAGAAATATTAAAAACACGATTTTGTAAACAACAACTGCAAGTTTTTTCTTCATCTCTTTATAGAGTTAGAGTTTTATTTTTTTTATTTTACAATTTTTTTTATTTAAAACATATTTTTTTAAAAATAACATTCATCACAATAATATTTGTAATATGTAGCTACGATGATGAAATGGTTAGTGTAATAATTGTTCGTGGATAGATCAAACCTGATTGATGCTGGGTTCGCAGGTGCAAACTTGATCAAAGCTGTGGATTTTTAAGAGCCAAAAGAAAGTGCTCTGTACTGCAGGTAAAAATTCTTCAAGCTGAGAAAAATTTAAATTGCCTGTTTTGTCATCTGAGTGATACTTCGTATCTCTGCTAGGCAGTACAAGGAGTGTAGCAGAAATTGTGTAATCAGGTGGAAAAGCAGGTCTAATATCATCAGCCTCATCACAAAAAATAAAGCATGATTGAATTGAAATTGAGATTGCATTTGGTGTAGGAGTCTGCTTGCTCACTGATGGCAGCAGAGTGTGCAAATTCCACACATGAATTCTATGAGAAAGTAAAATTGGAGCAGTTTTTGAAAGAATATTGAAAATGTAGAAACTTGATATGAAGAACCCTTGTGAAACGATATCAATGTAACTGTTGAGAGTAAAATGCCATTACCTGAATGCTGGAGGAATGTGCCACTTTTTGCGGACGTCCACCAGAGACGCCACTTGCGCCTCCTGCACCTCCAGCGCCTGAGTGTCTATCCCCATCAGCTCAGCCTTTTTGAGGAGCTTCTGACAGGCCGACGCACTGGTGGTGAGAAGACGAGGCATCTTCTGAGTTGGCACTGAGGGAAAGAGAAGTGAATTCTCACATTATGTTAATACTTGCATCTCTATTTGGATTTGAAATTTTTTCTTAATTTGGATTAGTTATTTTTGCATTTACCAATTGCATTTTTATGATGTAATTATTTAAAGATTTTTTTTACTTAAAACTCATAAAAATACAGTAGGTAGAAATACTGTTTATACTGGAATATAACCCGCGCTCTAATTTTCCAGTAAGCAATCTTGAAAAAAACTTTTTTTCACATTTCTTCATTTTTATTGCAAAAATTTCTGACCTTGAAAAGCCTGTTGATAACACTGGTTAGAGTGTGATTTTTATAAAGGTGTGCCTCAAGGCCCATGTTCACAGTGGCATTAAAGATTTCACAGCAGTGCTTGATACAGTTGTGATCATGCAACATGAATGGCACGACCGAGAAAGACGTGAAATGCTATGAGATATTCCATCATAAAGACAGGTCTTGACTCAACACATGATAAAATCCGAAGTATAACCCACACTGCCACGCAAACATGTGCAACACGCTTGAAGTTCACAGTACCAGCATTGACTCAAATATTACCTGCTCCCCAATTTTCAGGTAGCAACTTTTGAAAAAAATTCACAGGTTATATTCAAGTATATACAGTAATAACCAACAATGATTATTTAGACTCAATATTAAAGATATCCTTCAAAATAAACACAATCAAATTTTTATTTCCTTAAATAAGATAGTATTTTTATTGCACCATTAGGAGTGCAAAAGGACGCTGAAGTAGAAACAGAGCCTAGAATGTGGACAATCTTTACAATGTATAAGTCATTAACTTTTCTGTTAACAAAGACAATCCTGCAAGACAACCTTCTGCAGTTACAATGTACAATGTTAGATACTGTAAAGAGAGTGACAAGACCACAAAAAAAGTCAAACCAGTTATGTGGAGAAAGAATTAAGTATACATTTTTATACGAACCAAAACTGTGGTAAGTGCAGTTTCAAGAAGTACATATAATATTTTATTTTCCCAATAAATCAACATCATAAATACATCAAAACGCTTTGCAAATTTTGTCCTGCTGGTTGAGTAAACAGAGAATTTCCTCAAACATGCCATATACTCAAATAAACCCCGCATTTTTTTTTTTCCAAAAATTTAATCGTGGGTATTATTCACCCAAGAATGGTACCACGAACTTGGAGTGTGTTGCGCATGGTCACATGATGGTGTGGGTTAGTAGAAAGCATTCACTGAGGTGCAGTAGATGTTCAGTACAATGTAGATGAAAGTTACATTCAATTAATGGTACTACTTTTTTGCAATAAACAGGAAAGAAAAGTAGTTGTTTTTTTGAGATTCCTTTCCGTAAAATTAGGGTGCAGGGGGTTATTTGATTATATACGATAATTTGGAGCGGTATTCCTCAAATATTGCATCATTTGTATTAAGAGGAATCTTACTCAACAAGGAAAAAGTATTGTTCCCTTGAAGTTCCACATTGAGCAAATTGTACAGAAATATCTGGTATGTTGATTTCTTTCACTTCGAGATAATTTTACAACAACTTAACCTACATTTCTCACTAAATTTAAATCTTCACTGTTTTTATTTAATTTTATAAATTCCCATTCAAAAGGCCAGTGTCAAACAATGTGGGTCTTGACCCATTACTTACCCCATGGAGGTACTTTAGTTGATTTATGTTGCAAATACTTCTCCCGGTATTTGGCCAATTTCCGCTGAATGCGCACCTGCTCTGGGGCATCAGCATGGCCTGCACGCTGTTGTTCAATTTGTCTTTGCTTTGTTCGCAATTGCAGAGCTAACCAGTTACGACGCCGGCGCCTGAGCAAAAACAAATGTTGCAAATAAAGTTTCAAGAAAGCGTAGAGAAGAAAGAAAATTATGAGGAATTTTACTAAAAAGATGATTTGCATTTATGACACAATATTATTGATAAATATATTTTGGAGCAATACATGGAAGGAAAAAGATCATAAGCAAAGGACAAGGCAGATGGAAGGACAATGAATTTTACTGAACAGGCTATGAACAACATGAGCTGCAGGAGCTTAAAGAACCCAAAGTAGAAAGTCCCGAAGCAAAGGAGCAAGGAGTTTTACTGCAAACTAAAGGGGTAGGAGGAGGAGGAGCAGAGGAAGAAGAAAAAAAAGAGAAGTAGAGGGACAGGAGGAGAAAAAGGAGCAGACAAGGAGGAGAAGCAGAAAAGGAACAAACAAAAGACACTAAGCACAAAAAGAACTCTGTAGAAATATTTTCTGTGAGAAAAAAGAATTGCAAGTTCATTATAAATAAAAACAAGTAAATATAATATAAAAATAAAACGTTGGTAAAACTCAATACTTACCGCATCAACATTTTGTCTGTGTGCAATTTACAGTGTGCATAAAATGGGTCTGCTTGGTCCACTTCTTCAGAATGAGCTTCTGAGAGAAGTCCTTCTCGTTGTGCACTGCACACACAGGTAAGAATATTTAAAAATGAAGTTTCCATGAAGTACTTCATAGAATCCATGGTACACATCAGTTTCAAGCAATCAATAAAACTATCATCAAGGCTACTCTTATCCAAGAAGAAAGAATTTTCAAAAATTAATATCAACAAAGGAAAATTAAACAAACCCTTCACCCACATACAGAGGTCCCAAGCCCAGCAGCCTTTCAGGTTTATGCCCAAAGATATGTAATGAAAGATTAACATTGAATACAGAAAGCAATCTTTTCAGTAGATTTAATTCATTTTAATTACCTTTGTAATATAATTCTTACAATAGAATTTTTTCAAATGCCACCAAATATTCAAGTAAGTTTTGCTGCTAAAGTCCGCAAATTTAAAACTGTTTCTTTCTTACAGAAAGTAATCAATCAATTAAAACCTGCAATCGACCAGTTGGTCTTTCTTCCTCTGCTTGAAATAAATATTTAAAGGGAAAGAAATAGGTATCTTTTTTAAACCTCTTTTGAATATATGGTACACGCTTTCATATTTGCAGGGCTTATACTCAAGTCAAATCAATAGAACATACAATTTGGAAAATTTGTATATAGTTTGTGAATAGCTACAAATGTGATTGTGAATTGACAAATGGATCATTTTTTCAGTACCAATGACCTCCCAATGCATAATAACTTGGTCTGTACTACACATACAATGTATTTTACAGAATTAAGTACACATACATAGTATATCCAAACAAACTGAAGGTAATAACACTTACCAAGTTACATGAAAGTAAGTCCGACACATTCCAGCATCACAACCAATGCATACACCAGTACGAGAAAATTTCTCTTCTTCACACATACAACAAGTCTTCGCACCCCACTTGTTGTAAGGCATCTCAAACAATGTTACGCTAGACAATTTGTCAACTTCTCCAAATGCAACCCCAGGCACATACAGCGCACATACAAGATGTACCCATTTGCCAACATCAGTCTCCTTAAAAATGCCACCTGCAACATGAATTGGACACTGATTGGTGGTGAAATTAAATGGGTAGGAGGAAATAGGAAACATGTTTGTGATAGTTTGACAAAACTAAGTGTGATCATGACACACAAAAGAGAAACCCTTACCATGCTACTTATTAGAAAGCAGATAGCAGGATAACAGGGTAAATAGTGCCCCATGTGAAATGAAATCTTACTGAATGATTCTAACCAAAAATATTTTTTTGTTATTTTGCAACCTTCTACCATTGCCTATGTAATGAAAAACATGTTTTCTGGATTTTAATTGTGTGCACTGAGAATACACTAGAATATAACTATAATATAGAAAATTTGGAACAATTATTTTTATTGTTCCTTCCATTGAGAATTTTTCAAAATATTCATAGAATCAGCACATTATTTATATACTTTTCCAAGACTCACAGCACTGCTTTAGACTCAGGAGTTCACTAGCATTTATTGTGAAACAAGTGCAATGCAATACTGATAGCCAGCTGGCAGGCAAATTAAAGTTCCGATAGCCTAAAATCGTTAGGTGCAATCGCAGGGTTGAGGGTGTTACAGGACAGTAATAATTTACACGTCAATTATTTCAATTCACAAATTTACAATTTTTTTGGCAATACTTAGAAAAAGTCTCCAGAGTTTCAACCCATCGTAAGCACCTCCTGGACATCAGAATGAAAGAAAACACAGTAGAGCATGTTCTGTACATGCAGTAAGTAAAGACAACATTCTCATTTTCAGGAGCCCGCACTGCAATGAATCACACTATTTGGCACAGCAACCCGAAATGACAAATGAACCCTGCAGCACACGTGGTCGATCTCTCCGGTGACTGAGTTGTTCTCCCATGGATAACGTATCTTACAATTTCTCAGAACACAATCCTTCTCAGTACCTGTTTGTTGTAGTTCTCAGATATTGTAGCTTCACGTTTAGGCTTTATGCTGTGGTCATCAGAATTGTCTCAACCAAACCATGCGTCATGCTGCAGGCTAGAGTGTTTAGTACAGATAAAGCTTTCTAACAAAAATCTTGTTTCTTTTTTTTGTTGTTAAACTTTGTAGTTTAATAAAGTTTTAAAATTTGATTTCATAAAATGTGTTTAATGAGGGTTTGGACCTGAAACACCCAGAAGTCAGTCTGTAAAGCAAAATTAGCTAAAGTGAAGATGATGCATCTGAGAGATAACCGTGTGTACTTGAACACCTTGTTTGACAGTGTGAACTAAAAGTTGTTTAGTAGTATGAGTGCCACAATGTTAAAACATGCAAGTACTCTTCTGATAACCTCCCAACACTCCATGTTCCACAACACATAAACATTCCATACTGTATAAGCAGTAAGCAAAAAAAGTACAAACACTATATACTTTAAAAAAATTTACATTGTAAAGTCTGTAGGATATACCCATTTATGGACTTATTAGTGTTTACAAAAAGAAAAAATTACATTGAAGTACTAACGTTGTAGCAACAGGTAGCTTTGTTACAAAATACCAATAACAAGTCTGCCAAAACATCTATATCATCATGACAGTTTAATACAACTTCAATGTCTAGTTATGTAATTTTGTAAAATCTCATGTTAGTCAGAAAGGTACAAATTGAATTACAATTATAAAAAGGTTTTGTAGACAGGAGGCGCAGGATGAGAGGCAAGCAACAAGGTCTACCTGTGGATTTATGAATAGTCCACAGTATTTCTTAGAATCCTTAACAATAGTATAATTCGTATTTGTTGCCGTCAAGCAAACAGGCTTTGAATATTAAATTTGGATAGCAGATGCTTAACATTGATTCCTTGAGGTGGGTATAGCAGACTCCTTAAATTCAAGAAACTTTTCAGACATTTTGGCAGGATTTGTGTCACACCCTTGAGATGTGAAGTCCAAACTATTGTGACATACTCCAATTTGAAATGTACTAGTGCAAAAAATTAGTCTTATCACTTAGATATTTCTGATTGTTTTGAGAGTCCAAAAAGAAACTCCGGAGTTTTATTTACCGCAGAAATTAGAACTTCAGTGCATAGTTAAAACCCCAGCTACCCACCACAAGCAACTCTCTGATTAATACATGGTACAAATTCCAACCTATTCCCATTCATTTTATAATTATAAATAATTTACTTTTATCTATTAAATAAAAAAAGTAATCAAAAACACATTACATGGCATTTGGCAGGATTTAACATTCAAGCTTAATCGCTTTAATTAAATGACTTATAACTACTCCTTGTTATGCTCACAATTTTATTTGAAAATAAACAGAAAAAAGATCCTTAGTATGAATTATTATGAAAACATATAAAATTGTATTACTGGTAAAAATTTATATATTTTCCTAATAATGCCTGCACTTATTGTATGATGTTAGCATATACTGGCTAGCATCCCGTAATAAGCCTAGATAATATACAATTAGAGACTATACCAAGCATCGAAAAGGAAAGTGATATTAATTTTAACAATGACATTCATTGTATTATATACCGTTTGGATTGTATAATTGTAAAGAACCTGTAACAAGTATTGTACTTCAGCTTCTGGGTCAATGACCCCCATCACGATCAGGTTTTAGTACAGTTTCCCTGATCCTCGATCAAATGCTGAGAAGATCCCTTCTTTTGCTTCTGGACATAATTGTAACTTCAGATTAACTTCTCCCCATAGCCCGTCAAACAGTTTTTAACTGTTTTTGACGTAAATAAATAAATCTTTGACTACCACCATCCAATTCATTTACAAGTATTTGTTTGGTTTTGAAGACATGATGAGTGAAACTGCACAGGTGTTTAGAAGAAAACATCTACTCATCAATTGTTATGTATGCCCCTGTATAGCTACACTGTGCATTGGCAATGAAGTCAAACCAAATTTCAGATACCTTGTCCTTGTTTGGTCTTTGCAATCTTATAAATCTCATGTCAAATCTATAAAAACATTATTTCTCTGAATTTGTCTTTAGCCATCATTGATTTCACAAAACTATTTCCCCACTTCAACCACAATGTGTCTAGTTCTAAACCATTAGATCTTGTAGCATCACCCCTGAACAATACTGCTATGAAACCTTTCAGTTCTTCAATTTTCATAGTCCAATCATCTAATTGCATTATCCTAATTGCTTTTGCTTGATTGGACGTCACTATACATTTCAAACATTCTTCTGTAATCACGTTCCTAGGCACTGAAGCAAGTTTGATTTACATTTTGTTTCACATGTGGGGATGGACCAGCACAATTTTTCATTACAATTTTGAATGCTATATCTGCTGCCTGAAGTAAAACTCCCAAATTTCCAGTTCATGCTGTATGGAAACTCAACATCTCAACCAATCAGGTACAGATTTTGGCTTGGATTGGGCCCTAATTGCAGTCTTTCTCTCTATCATGTCTTTGGCTTTGCCCTCATCCAACCCCTTGAGTCATCTTTGCCCTTGCACGAAGTATTTCAATACTTTTTTAATTCAATAATAGTGAGACTACATTACATTTAATACTGAGTGGTCAATTTTATTACAAATGTAACTATTTTAAGGTAAAAATTTTACAAGGAATTTATAGTAAGTAGTTTATAAACTAAACATAGTTTTATCGAAACTCTATTACTCCAAATGTTTTAAAGCCATAACATTTCTGAATTTCTTCGAAACTGGACATATTCATGCGTATGTAGAGTTTTGCTAAACCAAATATGTTCGTTGTATTTAACATTATTTAGGCAAAAGCTATATAATTTAAGTAAAACTTGTTCTCATGATACTGATTTTTGTGACCATTTCTTTCAAACATTCAATTGAAATGCTCCATTGTTATCAATACTATTGGGAGGAAAACTGATGTAGGGAGAAATGTTCAAAGTGCAGTGTAAGATTGTGAGATATACAAAGGTGTCTTGAGAGCAAGTAAAATACATTAATCCTGTAATGTCTGAGAATCCAGACAACACATATTCTGTTAATACAGTTTCTTGTGGAAGAAAGCACAGCAGAAATAGGGATATTAGTGGCAAGAAAAGGCAAAATGTCAATTGTCGAATATTTAAATCACACAGCCATAGTGACTATGAATTTCACAAATCAATGACAGTATGCTGTGTCTCTGAAATATGCTTTGAAGATATGATAAGTAAGTACATCTTTATTGAAATAAAATTTTTTGTATTCTATAATTTAATCTAATTAGTGTTTAAAATATTACTAAACTACAAAACCTTCTTACAGGTTTTCATTCCATGATACAACGTAAATACAAGACAGATCAGGATAAGTTTCTTTTCAAATACATGCAAGTCCAAAGTCCTCGCCACAGAGTTATTAATCAGGATTATAGTAAAAAGCCAAAGATCATAACTATAAAATAAGGAAGCAGGATGGTTCATTAGTTCCAGTATGTGCTGCAAGTTTTAGCAGCATAACAGGTGCATTCATTGACAGACTTACTACAATAGCCAGAAATTTTCATGCAACAAGTGAAGATCCTATAGAGAAAAGAGATGGTAACCAAAGTGGAAAAGAAGACAAATTTATTACTGAATCTATTATAGATCACATCAAACAATATAAGAGCCGAGAAAGTCATTATTCAAGAGACAAAGTAAATAGAAGCTAACGTGCACCAGTCATAAAACATAAAAATAATGTGGAATAGGTTTTGTACAGAAAGAAATTCTGGTGAATTACGTAGAGTCTTGCTATCTAAATTCAAGATTGTGTTTTATAAAAACTTTAATTTTGTTGAGTTTTGGGAGTCCAAAAACTGATGTGTGATGAGCAAAACTTGCAGACAAAAAATTAACACTGAACAATGTACAGGTAACATAACATGGGGGCCAACAAGTTTAATGAGATCATGCAAAAAGAGGCCCCTGACACCATAAAAATTTGATTCGACATGCAACAGAATATTCCTTTACCAAAACTGTTTCCAAGATATTTTATTCTCCACAGGTTTAGTCCTATAATTCAGCAATAATGTTACATGAGAAGGTTTAACATCCTAGTGATAATCACTTCCATTGTTGGCTAGAGACAGAATCATCTCGTGGAGCCAATGAAGACTCAAGGGCACTGGTAAATTTTTTAAGAGAGCTCAAATGCAAGTTGGATGCATCAGAAAATAAGCCTAAATGCATTAATTTATTTTCCGATTCTTGCACAACTCAAAACAAAAATTAGTCTCAATGTCTACTTTGATGGGTTTTCTTTTGGATTACAATCAAGAGCAAAAACTTCAAGCAAAAATAATGAATATAATTGCAATTTTTTTTTGTCGTTAAAAATATTTGTACCACCAAATACTCAAATCTTCAAATGCACCGACACTTTTTTTAGACAATATCTAGCAATCAATTATTTCAAATACTTACCACGATTAGGGCATAATTCACATATTGGATTTGTTACACCAGCCCGGCATGCTTCACAAAACCATGGCTCAGTTGAACAAGAAGAAACAGTGCTTGATACGCTGGCTGTGTCGGACACACCATAACATCCTGACATAAAAGAAAAGAATGCTAAATCATTGTGGAAAAATTTACAAAAACATATAAAGACCCAAAACGGAAAAAGAGATATGACTTTGGAAAAAGGGTTCTCAGTAATTAATACATCTGAATAAGAACATAATAAGAATATTTACAAAATGATAAATACCAATTATATTTGCACATCAAACTCATCATTTATGCTCTTCTCCCACCTGTTCTAATATCGCTTTTTGGGTTGAAGTTTAGTATATGGTACACCCTTCGAGAAGCATGGCGGCGGGGCTTAAGCCCTAATCTCTGTACGTGCTCTAATACAAATGAGTAAAACTTACGAATAGATTTTCATGGTTCACCCTTTATACGCTTTGTCCCCGCTGCATTGTAACACCAATTTACTTTCGAAGGCAAGTTTTCTCGCTACGCTCGCCCGGATCCAAGTCACAACGAGGCTCATGTCTTCGGCCCTCACGTTCACTATAAACATCCTTGAGTCTATCCAACGCATAATTACCAATTCACTTTTATAAGAAAGCACTTTTCAAGAAAGCCTCCAAAATTCTAACTGCCTAGTTAATGCCGGAAGGGCATGCGAAGTGCCAGTTTAAACGACTTCCTTAGGTTGTACCGTATACAACATTTCAGTCGCTTTTTCAAATCACATGTGTAACTAACATATTATTAGTATTATTTTTTATAATTAAAACATAAATATTTTTCTGCAGTACGATTTATTGAGTCATGCACTTGACATAAATCAGCAGTTGTGGTTTCATCCAATCAGGAGCCTTATGCCACTAAAGTGACGTCACTATGGGGACGTTCAAGCTTCCAATAGGATGAAATTGTGAACAGCTGATTTACGTCAAGTGCATGATTAAATAAATCCTAGTATTCAGTAAAAATCAGATAAAAGCATTTTATTTTTTTTTTTTCTTTCTTTGATAATTATTATGCATTTTCTAGTAAAAGAAATGTCCAAAGAAATTAAGATTATTTTATTTAACTATTAACTTACATAGACAAAGTCATTTCTGTTGATAAAAAAGCAATTAGCTATTTATACAGTAAAATCTGCGTAAACCAGAACCAACACAAGCCAGAAACCTGTCTTAACTGGAAAACTTCTTTGGCCCATGAAGTTAAATTGCATTTTACACAGCTTAAAACAGAATGTTGTTTCGTGTACTATGAAGGGGGAAAAACCTATACACAACAGAATTCGTGTGAATTTAATGCAAGTGGCAGAGAGACGTGAGATATTCTTAATGGAATCAATGTATCTGCAAGTCTGTTTTAACTTCTCTGGCCTTGTTACTCACAATTTAGTTATGAGAGGCGCACAGTGAAGAAGAAGGGCTTCAACTGTCAGTGTAGAATTTGACCTTGGGGTCACAAGTCCCTCAAGGTATAGGCTAAAGGGGATTCCCTCCCTCCCAACCTTCTTGAGTGTAACAAGATGTGCGAGCATGGCTTCTATTCACGGGTCCCCCTGCCCCATGTTGAAAATAATAACCTCTCAGCCAGAGACTCATTACTCAACGACATGCAAGGCCATTAGAAAGTCTTAATACTGGGCTGTGAAGCACTGTGTGTAAGCAACAAGTCAGGCTGTAACCACAGGGCAGCAAGGTGGTGTGTATTTTTGTGTGTTTCACATCCAGTTTAACAATGGTGGGGAAAAACCATAAAAGTTCAACTGTAGATGCAAATGTCAATCTTAGCAAAACTCACTCCGAAGCTGTCAACATCAAATGTTTAATATTCATTTATTCGTGATTTCTTGCATAGGGACATTGTTAATGCTTTTAAATAATTAAAATCAAGTACCATTATTTACTAGCTTTGGGATGAAAATACCAATATCACAATTATCATTAAATTGACAACACTGTATAAAACAGAAACCTCCCAAAACAAGAATTTTTTATGTGTCGACCGATTCCGACTTAGACAGATTTTACTGTATTACATTGAAAAAATTAATTCCAAAATATTACCTTCATGTACAGTTACACCACACCCATCACATTCCACTATTTCATTAGCATCATCGCTTCTATCTCCCAAACATCCACAGCAGATTAACACTTTCGTTGTATTAAAAATCTCAAACTGAAAATAATGGTCAGAATTCAATCTAAGCTCGGATTAGAAGGGTTCACATTATTATTATTATGAACAGGGCTTTTGTTAGCAAATATTTGCAATGCCAATACACAAGCACATATCATGTTCCTTTTATCCATTCACCCTAAGAAAAATCCTGATGTAAACAAATGCATGTGTTTTCAGATGATTCTCATTGGTTTGCAGTGTGAGCTGTTGTAGGGATCCTGACACAATAGTAAATAGTTTTCTGTATAAGAACTAATTTACCTGCAATCATTCGTTAAATTAGCCTTGCGTCTGTTGCAAATTGCAACTGTTCAATTAATCGTTGCATATTGCAACAGTTCAAGAAGGAACCATTGTGAACTGACTGTGTTGCTGTGCAATAAGATTATGAGCCTCTGACAGTTCAGTCTACAAACATACTGATTGACGTGTGTCAAGCGTGCGGAACTGTGGTGCCACGCCACCAATTGACCTGCGAGACCTTTGTATTCAGTTTGGTTTAGAATGTCTGCGAGTGTAGCTGGCTCTTTAGTTAAATATAAGTGTGGAAAATTTCTTCAGAGTAGCGAAAGCACATTGTTTTGAAGGTTTTCAATTCGTTACTGCATAGGAAGCCTGTGTTACTGGTGAAGCAAATAGCAGAGTTCACTGGAATATTCGAATTCAGCATTGAAACTCTAGACAGAGCTCATTGAAAACAGACAACTACAAAAGCCAGAGAAGATAAGAGAGGGGAAGAAACCTGGGATTGAAGCATACCATGACTTTGAAGACAGAGCTTTTCCTTTGAAAATTCATTCCTTGCATCAAAAGGGCAAAAGTGCAGAAACATCGATGCTTGCAAATTTGTGGCAGCTTGTGAATTGTGATCACGAACTGAATTTTAGGCCAATCAATTTATACAAATTGATGTTTGGTTATTGACAACCACTTCCTAAAGCAGACAAATCATAAGTTAAGTGGTTGCATGAACATGTCATTTGCATGAAAGCGCTTATTCCATTTCAATTGGCAAGGTATGCCATTCGCATCATCGAACATAGTGTGCTAGGTGGTGTCCAATTAGAAATGTAGTGCAGCACAAATATTTTTTCGGTTTGTTTACATACTTTTTTTCTTAGGATGAACAGATAATAGATGAGAATTCATCAACCACTTCATTTTACCTACCAGAGTAGTCACTGGTACATTAGAACAGTATTAAACATTCATAATGAACAAGACTTCTGTACCTTATCATTTGTTTCTGCCTGTCGCTGTTTGGCTTGTTCTATAACATCTCCTATTGTTAGTGAAGTTTTAATTTCAGGGCCAGTGCCATTTTCACTATCCTCGGATTCATCACTGTCATTTTCTTCTTCTTCATCCTCCCCTTCATGATCTATGTACCAACAGAATTAGTTACTGAAGACAAGTCTTACAAGGATAATGCTAACAACAAAAAATACGTTATACAACCTCCATAATCATCTGAATCCAAGGAATCATCAGATTCTTCGCAATGGTCTTCAATGCGAAAATCACTATCATCAGAGCTCTCCCCCAAATCAAAATCAAGGAGAGATTGTTGAGCAGGGCCCACTGGCTTCACTCGACGCTTCTTAGGGTCTCTTTCCACTGTTGATAGAAAAGACATTTTATAACATGTACGTTTATAACATTCTTGAAATGGTAACCGGAGATTCTTTTCGAATTTTATTGGCTACAAATGCGTCGACATTATCACAAACAAAACTGAGTATTCACGGCTTCAGGATAGAGAAATTCCCTAACCTAAACTTAAGAGATGCATCACAAAAGGTCGTGGTCACTAAACCTTGCGCTTTTTTTTAACATGAACTACACAGCGGGTACTTATTGACATATGGTTAATTATGGATGCCACTTTATTGGTAAATACATAGCTTTCGCAAGTACACAATGCCGGTACGCATATCCACGCCAAATACACTGAAATCCACCCCAACTCCTCACTTTTTCTTCCTGAGCATCAATAGTTTTTTCTCTCTTCTTTTCCACGCACTCGTCTGTATTTCCTCGCCCTCCCTATTCTGCATCTATTTCTGTCCGTTTTTCTTTATTGAAATTCGAGAGACAGCGTCTCCAAAATCTCACAACACAACCATCATGCATGATCTCACTAGGATTATACACATAGCAGCGCAGATACAGTGTACAGAACATACACAGAGCGTGGGGGGAGAGCGCACGCACAACCCCAACCAGCGAGAATTTAGTAGGTGAAGCGCATAGACAACACTCGCGGCGGATCAATTTATATGGGGGGGGGGGATAAGGGACTAAAAACAAAATAAATAAATAAAAAATACAAGCACATTTGTATGGGGTCGAATTACATTTAACTTGAGAATTGATATTATTATCGAGAACTAACACTTTTTTATGCAACATGATGCAGGAAAAATACAACAACAACAACAACAACAACAACAAAAAAAAAAGAAACATGAGAAAAATAATATAATCCCCAAGAATTCAAAAGAAATCCCAAATGTGTATCTACAAACACACCGCGCGTTCTGCAGTGTTGCCAGGTTAGGGCTTTCCCCCTTAAATTTAGAGGATTTTTGGTCATTAGTGGCGTAGCGTGGGGGACAGCAGGGGCGGATCCAGCCGATCATTTTGGAATGGGCCATCACAGATTCAAATCTACCGCTAGAAAACCAAAAAATTGTGAAAATTTCAACGAAAAAATGTTGAAGAGACGATATATGGCAGCCGCCAAGAGGATGGGAGAAAGTCCGTAGAGCTAGTCCACACCAAGGAAATTAGAAAATTTTACTATGAGAAATTCTGTGCCATTCTGCCACTAGTTCATTATGCTCGCATTTTACAGATGAGAACAGATAGAATTTAAATAAAGACGCATAATATCCATGTACAAATTAAACATTCACTTACATACCAACATTACTGTCCAGGACTGTAGTCCACAGGATTTCACAAAAGATAAACTTTTTTTAGTAGATTTTTAATACATACCTTTACATATACTTTTTTTAATATATACCTTTTCTTTTTATTAGATTTATTACTCTTTTCTTCTTATTTTTTTTTTTTTTAGATATTTTCTTTCTCTTTTAAGTACCGCGACGTCTTCGCACGCATGTAAGCAATCCATGCCATATTCTATTGGTTCGGGCACACTACATTTGCGAAATGTCACTTCGGCCCACGACCCAGAGAGTATTTTACCACGACCACTCACTTGGCTTGGAGAGAGACACTCGGTCAACACTGTTATAGGTTGCTTCGGCCACACTCCAATACGTGGAAGTCGCCGTAGCACCACTTGTCAAGCAGAAGAGATATGAGCTGTCACACGCCTGTGGAGAACAGTTTATTTATTTTCTATTTATTTGCGTCAAAAACAGTTAAAAACTGTGTGTGACGTGCTATGGGAAGAAGTTAATGTGAAGTTACACTCCAGAAGCAAAACAAGGGGCCATCTCAGCATTTTCTCAATGATCAGGGAAACTGGACGAAAACCTAATTGAGATGGGGTCTTTGACCCAGAAGTTGAAGTAAAGTACTTGCTACAGGTTTTTTAGAACTATACAATCCAAATGGTAAATATGACACTAAATGTCGTTGTTAAAATTAATATTACGTTCCTTTTGGATGCTCGGTGTAGTTTCTAATTGTATAGACACAGTTGTGCAGCAGAAAAGATTCTACTTGCGACTTAAAAGTTTATATCGAATTTAATCGTTTAATGTCATCTGGCAAGGCGGTGTAAAATAATGAATATGTCTTGTATGTGATTTTTTTGTAGTGAGCTGTTGATACTGTCACCTCATGAATATGATTACACCCTGGAGTGTTGTAGTTATAGACATCGGCGTTTGCTGAAAATATTTTCCCATCCTTTAATAAGTTATTTTTGACAAAAATCACTGATTCATGTATCAAGAGACAAGGTAATGGTAAAATTCCTAAATTAGTAAAGACAGGCGTTATTATTCTTACAATTCTTTTTTGTAATCTAAAAGTCTGGGAGCTATAAGATGTATTTCCTCAAAATATTATGCCATATTTCCGCGGGAATGAACATTCTCGAAATATGCACATTGAGAAGTATGGAGGCTTACTGAATATGAAAGAATTCTGAAAGCGTAGCATAGAGAACTTAATTTAGTGTTCAATTTATTTAAATGGACATTCTATTTAAAGTTTAACTGAAGTGAAAGACCTAAAAATGTTGTTACCTTAACATGTAATGTTCCATTATTCCAGTAAGGTATTTCTACTCTCTGAGATCGTTGTTTAAGGTACGAACATAACCAATCTAGAGCAACACGAATTCCATACGTAGGAAATTTTGAAAGTAAAATGTTTTGATCAATGAAATCAATAGCTTTTGAAAGATTTAAAACTAATCCAATATGTGCTTCGTTTTGATCCATGAATGAGGCGACATCTTTAAGACAGAAAATGGCTGTTTCCCTAGATTTTGATTTTTGAAACCCATGTTGGCAATAAAACGCGTGTTGTTTACTAAGAAAGGTTTCCATACGTAAAAAAAGTATCTCTACAATTTGGAAAAAAAAGAGAGAGAGAGAAATTGACCAACAATTTTCAATTTTATTTTTGTTTCCTTTTTTGAAAAGCGGCTTAATTTTAGTTGTTTTTCCCAGCTTAACATAGCTGGGAAAATTCCTGTGCATAAGGGTATATTAAATATGTGAGTTAACGGGATTATAATGGCGGACGCACAAGTCTTTAACAAACAATCCGGATATTCATCTAAACCGGCCAAATATTTATTTTTTTAGTCTACAAAGATCTTGTCTAAAATTTTGGGGGAAACGTCTGATGTTGAATTTTGTGTTTGAAGACCCTTAGTGAGGTCGGCAATAAGTCTCGAAAAGTATTATTGGTTAAAGAGACTAGCCATGGTTGCCGGATCGTTCACATTTCAACCGTTGTTTTTTAAAACTACATTCTCTACAAGGTTTCTAGTTGATTTTGTTGATTTTTTTAATATATTCCACATTGCTTTTGTTTTGTTACTTGAGTTCAAAATATCCTGATCATGTTTCTTTTGTTTTTTTATCCTGATCGTGTGCCTTATGACTTTTCTTAACAATGATTTGTAATTTTTAAAGTAGAGGAGGAAATTGTGAAATACGTTATGATGCTTAGAAATGAAATAAAAAATTCGTTTGATTTTACATGATGTCCTAATCCCTTGTGTGATCAAAGAAATGATTTTCCGTAAATATTTAATTTTATTTTTTGAAAAGGAAAGCAAGAGTTAAAATGATATGAAAGCGTTGAAAAAAAAATATCGTTTGTATCAACAGTATTGTAAACCGCGTCCCATGACTCTTGAATCAAGTAATTGATGAATCATTTTATTTTACTTTTAGTAAACAATCTACTCATACGTGAATTATTTAATGTGTCAGTGTTCGCATTTCTTATAATGGTAAGAATTTATGCATCGTGATCACTGTATTCTAAATCCTTTATTTTAATTTCATATCGAGTAGTTGTTTTGTTAATTATTGTTTGATCGATAGCCTTCTTTGAATTTAGTGTGGTCTGTGTAGGTACATTTATTGTAATATATAAACTAAAGGAATGGATTAAGTTGAGAAACTGCTCTTTCTCGCAAGATTCGACCAGAAAATGAATGTTAAAATCTCTGCATACAGCAATGGATTCAAAAGAGCAATTGCTGACTTTGTTTAGTGTTATCTCCAGTTTTTTAAGAATATAATATAATCTACTGGTATCTTTGTTAGAGGCCTGTAGGAAGTTATGTAATATAATTTTTAGCGTAGGAAGATGTACCACAGGCATTTCAAAAAAATTTCAACGGCATACACATTTAGTATTTGGACGTAGGTCTGTCAACTACGGGGGACAAAAATGCGCTGATACGTAGAATGCTACAAGACCGCACTAATGTTTGTCGACCTTAAAGAAGATGAAAAGCGCGACAACTCGAAAAAAGAAAACATGGAAATGGTCAGAGGCATATTGATAGTCGCGCGAGACGCAGACTGTTATCTTTCACTCGGTGTGTTTGCGCAAGAAAAAGAGAGGGATGCGAAGCGGAAGTGCGCGTTTCCAGAAAAAAGCAGCAGCCAAAGCAAAGTAGCGCTCAAGTTCATCGAGCGTCGTCAGGTGAATACCACAACACCTGACAGATGTCGCGGGTGCACAATGGCCATGAGATGCGGAGAAGGCGGCGCAAACCAAAAGCGCGAAGTTGAAACCGAAGACGATGAGAAGAAACAAAATGAACGACGAGAAATGGTTGACTGATGAGGACCATGTTGATATCAGATATAGAGATCGAACGAAGAAGGACGAAAGAACGAGACAAAAGAAACCAAGCGGATTAAGCGACTCGAGCGATCGACGTAACTGTGAATCGCAACTGAAAATGAACAAGGTCGGAACAAAACGCCCGACACTACAATCGCGAACGACCTCAGTGACGACGAATGAAGATAGACGACGCACAGCGGTTTCACCATAAGGGATGCTAAAGGGAGTTCATCGCACTTCTCCGAGGATGACGGGAAGTTGCCAAATAATGGATCCGAGTTTGAGGACGTCAGCGAGCTCCTGCAATGGAATGATGCACAAAAAGTGATATATGCGACGCGTATGCTGGAGGGGTCCGCATAGAAATTTAAGTCATCGCAAAACACGGCCAATTGAAATGCCTTCAGAAGTGCGATGTGTCATGAGTTCGCTACCAGAATCAACTCCGCAGTAATCCACAGTTTCGTCAACGTAGGCGGACGGCCAACGCAACAGGATAACAATATGTACTAGCGTACCCGTGCGAGAATGCATCCTTTCCTTTAAGAAGGAGAAGAAGTTAATGAAACGTATTTATTTGTTTAAAAATGTATAAAGGTAACTTTCATTATACAAACACAATATCAAATAAAAATAAAAAGCAGTGCAATTGATGCTGAAAAGAAATCTTCAATAAAGATTTATTCAGTATTATTGAGAGATTTCTTGGAACAATTCACAACACCCCCTTAAAAATATTTGAAGCAATTATTCAATATTTTTGACAGCTTTTCGTGATTGTCACTAAAATATTAAAAAAAGCTTTTTACTCTTGAGAAAGCTTCTTACTTGAAACTTCACCGAATCACTGCTGAAAACGAAAATAATGGTACAAGTAAAATACAAACCAAACCTAGTAAGACATGCCTCTACAGTTAGGTACCCAGCATTTGTAGACCTCTGCAAAAAGGTTAATGAAGACTACACACCTTAGAAACAATCTTCATCGATATCAAGCAACTATTTATAGTACTTTTAGTTGTAGCTGCGAGAGCGAACCTTGAATTAATATTTATGCAAATAAACCTTGTAAGTCTGCGCAAATCGCGGTGTACGCAGAAACCGTAAATAATATAAGATAGCGTGTGAGAGCCGCAAAAGGTTTTGTATACTACTAAAATAATATAGGAGACGGTACTCAATGATGGAGACTGCGCACCAGGGGAAAATCGAAGAGGAAGTTTTGAATGATTACATCATAGATGAGATTCCGGACAGCGAGATTAACAAGGTAATGCTTTATGGCGTGGAGACAATTCAAGAGTTAAGGAAGAAACTGGAAATATAAGACAGGATGAAATACACGTCAGTTGAAAACAGTGTCATGTAAAGAACAGCAGAAAAGTGAAAGCCCAGCAACACGGAAACGAAGATTGAAGGACATACTGTCGGCCGTAAATGGTGTTTTAAGTGTTGATCTAAAGATCACGAGACACCTGGGTGCCTGTACGAGCCGAACTGTTTTAAATGCAGCAGATTCGACCATACTTCTCGCAGATGGTTGGAGAAAGGGGAGGTACGTTGCATCCTGTCGAGCGAGGACACATATTTTTTTTCTTCCAGTCACAGTAAATAGAATGGAGTGTCGTGCACTAATGTATACCAGAAGTCATGCCAACCAAATGCAGTGGGACGTATACGAGAAATTCGGTGATCCAACTCTGAAGTCGACACGATTATGTACGGATTGGGGAACGCCACAGTGAAACCCATGGGAATGGCAGAATGCGAGGTCGACTTAGGTGGCGAAACATAGTACTGCAATTTTCGCCGTACCGGCGAAAACCATGAATTCGGAATTCATCTTAGGTCAGGAACGGATGAGGGCTGAGGAGGTGACATTGAAGCGGGGGAAGATTTCTTCCAAACGGATAGCAATCGGGGCAGAGACACCGAATGCAGGGGCTCGAGCTGATGGCGTCCTAAAAGAGCAGTACAGCAGTGTTCAGTACGGTCGCCATCATGTGACATCTAGCGACACGTCTGAGAAAGTCGCGAAATACAGTGACATATACACACACATCCATTGTTTGAAGTATTATCAGAAGAAAATAAACAGATATAAAATACTAAATCAGGTAAAAGTTTTCTGGAGGGTTAAAAATGTTTATATAATGCAAATAAAATTGAAATAAATATAATTTTTCAAAATATTAAATTGCAATCATTTAATAAAATGACACTGATTGATTATTAATTTTGATTGCTTGCACTTTGTTGTACTGACCAAACTATGCAATTTTGCAGCATTGCTTGTTCTTGTTATACCAAGTCTTTTAAGTATGTTGTGTTCAATTCTCATCAAAGAAAAATTCTTCAGTTATGTTTGGCTCATACTGGCTCTTATTCCAATCTCGTTATATTGATAGGTGATTGTATAGTGAGAGGGATACATTTTGCATCGTAATTGAATTTGGTGGATACATCTTCAATACTCAAAGAAACATTTGTGTGTTAAATACGAACCTAAGAGAATAATGATCATTTTTAGATTGTAATTTGTGCAGTAACACTATCCAAACAAATAAATAAATTTCCAGCTGTTGCATTTTAAAACTAAAAGTGTCATTAGTCAGCATTGAAAATTAAACTTCAAAATTATTGAACATGCACTTTTGTTTCAGTCCTTTTTTACTGGAGGTTCACAAAATTCATAATGGCAAACTTTTCATTCTTCACAAGTCAGACAATTTTAAATGATGAGCCTTAGAAAGTGTGAGGCTGGTAGCACATGCTACTATAATAAACTGGGACTGTTTACAAGTTAAAATATTTAGTTTGTTAAATGAACAAATATTGTGTTATTCAGCAATATGGTATGAATGTCCTATCTACAAAAGGATGTAAGTATGCCACTGCATGCAGGAGCAACTCTAGCCATAAAGCAAGAGTATGGGCTTGTCTGGGGATAGTGTCAAGTAGTGACTTTGCAACACAATAGCTTCATCCAACAATTGGCCATAGGTACTACATAAGATGGCCATTCTTGCACAAACTACTGTAAATACGCATAGGGCAATACCTTTTGTTCTTGGAATTACCAGGTAGTTATTAACCGAAACACACTGGAACTTGTAAGAGGGAGATATATTTACAGTGCAATTAGATTCCAATTATAATGTGGGGAACATTTTTTGATCAGCTGGGATTTATCCAATTGGAAACTTCAATATCAAAACTTATGTTGTAACAAGTTTTTGTTTCGTTTTTTTACATTAAAAAAAAAAAAAAGTATCAATGGCTGCTTTAAACTGGAAATTTGGTAGGTGAAAACATACGTATTCAGGGACAATATGAACATATAAACAAACAAGGGCACACTTTCATAGTAAAAATACAGATTGCAATTTTATTGAACACATTTAATCATTCAGACCGAAACTTTAAGTTCCCAGGCCCAAACCTGAAAATCCAAAATGGATATTTGCAACAACTTGGAAGAAACTTCTCAAGTTTAAAAAGACAATGCCACTCCATGCCATATACATCTAAAAACACATTACAAACAGAAGCAACATAAAACAGTTTAGTTACAGTGGAGGAATAACTAACAGAAAAGGGGATTTGGAAGTTACTCAAATCAGCATAACTTTCCAATTCCTTCCAAGCAATAAATAAGAACCTTTCTATAATACACAAAATTGTGACAAAACTTACAAATCGATTAGTCTAGTAATAATAAATACCACAAAATGAAAATACTTGTACAATGGTCAATAACTTTCCCCAAATTATCATACAAAACATGATATAAATGTAGAAAAGAATTTTTAGAACTTCTAGTTCTATTCATTCTGAAATAACTTTGGTAGTAAAGCCCAATTGAACTGAATTTTCAATATGTACATTCCTATCACAAGCTCTAGCTAGATATGCAAACATTTCAATTTCAAGAAACAAAACCATTAAAACAATCGCCAACAATAGTTCAAATTAAGTTTATCACAATTCATTAACGCATCGATGTTTCCATTGATACTTCTTAATGCAACAGTAAGAAACATCAAAAAACATAAATGTTGTTTTCCAGCACTCCTGATTCTTGCACAAAATTCTTCATATCCTTGTTGAAAGTTTCAGTTCCACATATCAATACAAGAGTTTTATCCAAAGACTTTTCAGACACTTTTTTTGCAAGTACATCTGATGTAATTCTGCCTTGAACCACAGTTTCTCCATAGCGAACATTCTGTGGATTTTCTTGTGTTACAAACATACAAAATGAAAAATTCCAGAAGGTTCTGAAGTATGAAATTTCATCACACATAAGCATTTCCTCATACTTTTTACAAGAGTATAATAAATGCATAAAAGTTTCCTCAGTGTCATCTTCCACAATTGATTTAATCAATCGCAACATTGGAGCAATTCCAGTTCCTGCGCAGCACATAATTACTTGCTCATATTTATTTGCAGAATATTTGAAATCTCCAAATGGACCACGCCAATGAACAAATTCACCAATAGTCCAAGATTTTACATAATTTGACATTTTCCCACTTGGATACAATTTAATTAACACTTCAAAACATCCCTGCATATGAGCTTCAAGATCAGATATGGGAGTGTAAGCCCTTGAAACAATACAGTCACTACTGCCAACTTTATTCTTCATTATCAAATGCTGACCGATTTCAATGTTCAGACTAAAAGAATGTTTATTTTTTAAGTCTGTTCGGTCTTTTTCGGAAATTTGAAACCTATATATTTTCGTATCAGGTGTTAGAGCTAAAATGGATACAAGTTGAAAAGGTGTATATTTAATCTGCGATAATATGGATGGTAAATCTAAAACCTTTCTGTATTCTTCCTTTTTAATATCACGGCATAGTTTCTCCCATTCTGCTAATTTTGTATCATACACACTGAAAACACACATTTCACAGTCACTTTTGCAGCAATCACTGTCATCAGGCCTTTCTGGCCTGGGAGGCAATACAAAGCCAGTAAAATCGCTCATTCTCATTTAGCTTCCCCACGATATCATTCAAAATAAATTAACACCAGCTGCCCAAATGTTTATGGCTCCACATTCATGCTGTTTTCATGAACAGAATTCAAAAAACCACTTTTGAAAGTTGCATCCATGCTATTATCAACAGGATCTGCGGTACTGTCCATTTTCTCTTCTTGTTTGGAGTGGTTGTCCCAGTCCACCTGGAACACAGGAAACAGACTATAAGCATCTATTTTCTTCAAAAATTTGTTAAGATCTTGTATTTACAGAAAGTGTGAAAACAGGATCAAATATGCACAGGAAAACAAGAGCTTGTGATATTGCAAATCGGCACCAAATTAACTATAACTCAAATTTTCATGAAAATTGAGATACCATGACATTACAATCTCTTGCTCTGGTGGTATCTGCAAATCTAATGATCATCAAATGGACTTTGGAAAATCCAATTGTTTTTCTGATAACTGGTATTTTTTATTATATCTTTAAGGCAAATTAATTGAAATGATAGTCATTTCTCTCTCAGACCTCTTAGATGATCATTTATCTGCAGGAAATTCTATATTAACATTCAAAACGATTCTCTCTCTTTTTGATATAATAAACATTTCTTTACTTCTAGGCTGTCCATTACGTAATACATAATAAATACATGTACATAATAAACATTTTCCATTTACTAATTTTATAATTACAAAAATGAGAAATGGCTTTGGAAAACATACATTTAACGTTACACGTTACTTCAAATATTCAAGTTTGATATTGTTTGCTTATGTTTATTATCAATTATTAATTGACTTTAAAAAAAGGAGTTCACAAAATCAATTACAAATTTACAATTTAATGTTTGTTTATCAACAACTTTTGCAAATGAATACCATTTTAAATTATTTTTTCTTTGCCTTAAAGGGTACAGTAATAAATTGTCTTGGTTCCCAGTGGTACCAAGGTAATTTAATAAATGTTTCAGATGTCTTTGTGTAGTGAAATTTGGATATTGACTTGTTCCAGAAGAAATGTACACTTTCCCACAAGCCAGTAATATATATTCATGAGCATTGATGAAGCGAAGTTCAGTGGTACCCCGGGTGGGTATACATGGTATCATCCCCCAACTCCAATGCCTAACCCAACAGTAATCATGATTTCAGCAACTTCTATGATTGAGATTTCCATCTCTTAATTCATTTACAGATAATACTATCTATCAGTAACTCCCAAAATTAGTATAACTATGGTAGAGCTTTGACATGAATTAATTTCTAGCAAGAATGGTATATATATTTTATTCCTGGTCTTCACTGACCCTCACTGTGTTTAACTGCTGATATCACCAGCGGTTATAAATGGGGAGGGTTCAGGTTAATCAAACTGTGGTAGGCATGCCTGGATGTTGATGGGGTAGACCAGTAACTGGAGACCTGAGGGCCTGAGAGGGTTAACTGCAGGTAAAATAATTATATAAATATTGAGAAACAAATATATAGAAAGGTCACAACATTCACATTCACAGTCGAAATAAAAAACTATCCCTGGATAATCTAAAACTAACAAAATTCAATAAAACCTGATTTCAGTTTCAATGGTTCTGTGTGTGTGTGTGTGTGTGTGTGTGTGTGTGT